AACCCTATTATGGGAACCCTAATCCCTACGAAACCTCCATAGGCTAAAAAACCCTTTTGGCCTCCTCTGAACTTCTCTAAGCCTCTGAAAAATATTCGTAAACAAGATCCTCTTAATCCGAACAAGGGAAACCATAAAAAATCTCCCAAGGTCCTAGCTAGTGAACTATGAAACTCGCAAAACGCCTCACCCTAAACCCCTAAACCCTACATGGTATCGTAACAGGTCTGAAACTGTTGCCTCGGAGCATCAAGTGATAAATCTTGTGTAATTGCTCTTTGAGCCATTTCAGCTTCTCGCCAGCGAATGGCTGCTGAGCGAACCTGCACATACACCGCGGCCCGAAAACAATTGTAGCCGTAAGCGTTCGAATGACGCAACAAGTAGGTACTCGGTTTCAGGATCTTAGTTATGTAGCCCTAAGGGTCCATGTACTCATATAGTATATACATTGGCCTTAATGTAGTCCCTATATAGGTACTTTGGGGCCCATGTATCTCTCTATGGGTGCATGGACCCTTAGGGTAGGTTACTATTTTGCAGAGTATATATGATAATCGGGCACTTGGACCCCTAGGGTAACTGTAGGAACCTGGACCCCAAAGCCTACAATTTCTGAGAAACTCGGCCTCTGCGCTATGTGAAGGTTTAGACGCCTTGTAATATAGGAGCCTGATTAAGAAACTTTGGGGTTCCTTATATGAACCCTAAGATATTGGGCGTTGTAGGGCCAGGGTTTCTTGAAAAAAGTTCCTACATTAGGTTGGTAGCATGAAGCTAGCAGGCCTACCACCCCAAATGTGCGCAAACGCAGAGCTATCAAGAGCAACTGAGTGCAGGCATCATGATAAACAGGCGCTGTTTCTAAAGAATGCAATGCACAAATTCAACTACAATAATTAGTGTCACTGGCCTGACATGTAAGCTTCGTTTTGTTCGGAGGATGGTACCGCAGAGTTCTACAAACCCAGAGACCTTTGTGAATACACCATTGTTTTGCTGATGAGCACACGGCACTGCGACGTGACTAAGGATGTGATATCCGCTACAAAAGGCTCCTTAAAACACGGGTTGAGGGCTTAGAAGCTGTGGACTCGGCAGTCTGCGGGAAGGCTTGCCAAGGACTCGAGGTGGCCTGTAGGCCTGCAGAGATGTTGTTGGGGCTTCAGGTTCGCTGGTTTAAGTTTCACACTGATCTCGGAGGGACGGGCTTCTTGCTGTTTCGGGGTAAGGGACTGGTGGAGTCCATGACGCCCCGAACCCTGAAGCCATATTGCAACCAAGGACCAATTGCACAGGACCACGACAATCCGCAAAGAAATGGCCACCTCAATGCGACTTTAGGGCGTATATAAGAGCGATAGGGTAGGGTGTGTCAGGGCGCAAAGTAAAGATAGGTACACGCGACCATGAATCTCTGCACTACGCAGGGACGAACCCACATGGAAACTCCCTCCATAAATCTCGCGCAAGAACTCCTTCCTGGCATCTACTCATCGTGCCATGACCCTGAAGGGATTCTTGCCAGTAATGCGGCCTTAGAGTGCCTATGTAGCCTAAACATGTACAATATGGGTACATGAAGCCTGAAACCCTAAACTCTAATTATAGAACTCTACATGAACCATGAAGGGAACCCTGTATGGGCACTTGTAGCCTTACGGGTATAGCAAACTCCACAAATGTATATACCCCGAAAAGGCAAGCTTCAAATTCTCAGCGCTCATCCCTAATTCTAAACCCCAAACCCTAACTTTCGGAAACTCCTAAACCCTAAACCCTTAAGAGAACCCATCTAGATCCCTTAAAAGGAGCCCAAACCATCCTAAACACTAGGATCCCCAGGCACCTAGAAGCAAAACGGCTCCCCAGCTAGAGTAGGTTTATAAGGAACCTAACCCTAAGGGTCCATGTACCCAAATAGTATATACATTGGCCTTCAAGTACTCCCTATATAGGTACATTGGGGCCAAAGTATATACTATTTGGGTACGTGGACCCTCAGCGTAAGACCTAAGACTACTAAAACCGGGTCCAGGGTCCCACCGGGAAACCCAGCTAAACCCGACAAACACAGAAGAGACGGCTGAACCCTACACCTGAAACCATCAATACCGAACCAAGGGTCCCTCACTACGTTCCCGAAGCTTGGCTTTAATAATGGAGCCCGAAAAGAAAAGGTTCTGAAGACCGTAAGACCCAGAGAAAACAAACCTGCAGCCCTGAGCTTAACCCCAAAGCACCTACCAACCTTTGTACGACCACATGCATATAGTGAAATTTCCCATTACAGAACCCTAGGAGTAGGTTTGTTAGGGTACAGGCAAGAATTCACATACATCATTTTTTACCGGTAAGCCCTAAACTTTCCACCCTGCCAGCATCCCCCTGTCAAAAAGAGGTGTAGTTGAAGGGGGGGGGGGTGCTGGTAAACGCCCTAAATTCCCCGAACCCTGAACTCTAAACCCTAAACCCTAAACTCTAAAACCCAAAGCCCTGAACCCCAACCTCAAACACTAAGCCAGCAGGAGGTGGATCCAAGGATGCCAACACTACCTATAGTCTCCATTGGAGTTCCTTATTTTGATTAACCAGCTTTATTGCTGGCATCCTATAATAGAGTTTTTGGTTAACCAAAAAAAGGAACTTCAATGGAGACTATAGGTAGATCTGCACACTGTAACCCGCAAACTAGGAGCCCCGGTGACCTAGGAAAAAATGGGCTCCCTTTTTGGTACAGGATAGGTTTAAATATGAAGAACCTAAAACTAGCAGGGCACACTGTCACCCATAAAGGCGCGAAGCTCTGAACGACTAGGGCGTAGAGAGTTTGCAAGGCGTTTACATAGAGCCTCGAAGGGTTCTTAATGCGGTTTAGCGTTTGTTTATGGGGTTTACGGCTATAGGGTGGAGGTTTTAGAAAAATTGTTAAGAGGGAAAGTTTTGATCTGGCTCAGAGCTTTAGCTGCTTGGAGGCTTACTTGGAGGTTCATAGGCAGTTATAAGTGGGGTTATAAGTCCCCTATTACAGGCTATAAGTAGTTACCCTACTTATAACGACCCATGAACCAAGTACCAACCCTTGAACCCTCCCTAAACCCTAAACCCTAAACCCTAAACCGCTTGAACCCTAAACTCGAAAACCTGAACTTTGGGTTTCACTCAGATGAGTTCAAGGATCCTTAAGGGACTCTGTTACGGCCCACAGAGTTTAGGGTTTGGGGAGTTTAGGGTTCTTTAAGGGGTTCTGCAAAGGCCTACGGAGTTTACGGTTTGGGGGATTTAGGGTTTTTAGGGGTTTAGGGCTTATTTCCGCTAAGGGGATGGGCGAGTCGCCTGAAGAGCCACTGCCAGAGCCGCCAGGACACTCTCGCTTTCCATGGCTTTGAAGTCAAATTTCAACAGAGGTTCAGGGGCTTCAGAACAGGCTCGAAGGGCCAAGTAAGGGTTTTTGGCGCTTTATATGGTTTCGGCTTTGGGGGGGCAGCCTTACTCCGCACTTGGAAGCAAGAACTGCTCGCGCTTGCCTCTACTCGGAGCTCCCTATGCCTGCCACCTGCTCGACATGCAAACTCCAAAGCCCCAAGCCCTCATCTAGCAAAACCCTAAGGAGGGAGACACTTTGAGTGGAACTCTGCCCCTACCAAGCAATGGATGGGCCAAGGGCAGCGCGAAGAAGGCTTGGAGTTCCAGCTGAGGGTTTAGGGCTTATGGGTTCCTGAAATTCCATGCACCTCTGTGGCATATACTTCAGCCTGAAAAGGGGTTCCTAAATGCAAGTACTTTGGGTCCACAATGGTCTAGAGTATATAGTGTATGGGAACATGGATCTTTCGGCCCTCTGCTCCAGGTTGTGGCTTCGACCTCCTGGTCTACTGCCTCTGGGAATGGATAGAAGTTGGTTTTATCACCCTAAACCCCAAAACCCTAAACCCTAAGTACTAGCTGCTCTCTTTTTCGCTTGGAGCTCCTATCTCTCCGAAGCTTGGTAGCGAAGACATCTTGAACCCCAAACACTAAACCCTTAAACCCTAAACCCTGCCGTTTCAAGCTGCAAGGACTTCCTCTCTCCCTCTATCTGGCTCTCTCTGTCTCTGCCTCTCTCTTTCTCTCACACACACACACACTCTCTCTCTCTCTCTCTCTCTCTCTCTCTCTCTCTCTCTGTGCTTGCCGCTTCCTAAACCCCGAACCCTAAACCCGAAAGGGTTGGCCCTTACCCTAACCTCTCTAAACCCGAAACACAACGCCTTAAACACTAAACCCTGGCTTCCGAGCTTCAGACTCACCTCTTGGGCAAGCAAAAGCTGACTATAGGGGCCTTAATAATTTGAATAGGGCTCCCTCAAGGGTTCTATAAGAGATACGATAAGTACATAAGCTATGATGTAAAGCCCTGCATGTTGGAACAAGGTTTGTAGGTATAGGGTTTGAGGGTTCAGGGCTATATCATATGATTACGTATGCGAGGACTGGAATGGAAATTCCTCCACCAATTGGTCAGACCCTTCAGTAACATATTGCAAGAAAGCTGAAGCTTCATCGCTGTGGGATTGGAGGGGTGTGCTATGGACGTTTTGGGAACCATCGAAATACTGGTACACAAAGGGACAATACCTAAAGACGCGTCTGTTGCAGGGTGCCCAGGAGTTAAGAAAGTATACCAATACTAGTAAAGGGCATGACAGCTCCAGGTACTTACAACCGTCCACCGTAAGGCGGAGCAAGCATAAGGTGCCGTGGACTTCACATCTAGCCTCGCCGGACGACGGTATGTTGAGGGAGGTGCAACTCAGAAACAGAAACACCCCACGTTTAATGAATTCTTCCTCAACCTAATACTGCAAAAAGATGGAAGTGGGGGAGGGGGGGGGAGGTCCTCGAAATAGGGTCTTATGTTCAGGAGCCCTTCTCGAAAAGGATCGTACCATTTCGGATCCCGCACACATGTCGTTTATTGTTTGATTCCCCGACCATCAATCTAATAATCTCCAAGTTGCCAGGATCCGCCGGTGCATCGATTGGGGCATCTCTCACCTGTCCGCGCGAGCTTGCGATTGGCAACAAGAACAGCCGCCACACCCTGATCCCCCTCGGGCTACAGTACTTTGCAGCCTCTCACCCACCAGAATCCGCTTTCTGATAAGTATGTATGACTTGTATTATACAATGTGTAACACACATTCAACTTGCATGAGAAGTTGCGAAAGTTGTCGATCCCTCTACAACACAAAAACATGTTGGTCGACTCAGCAAAAGAAATACCAATAAACGTCGTGGTACGGATTGTCAGCAGCAGCAGCAGCAGCAGGAGGAGGAGTAGTAGTAGTAGTAGTAGTAGGAGTAGCAGTAGCGGCAGCAGTAGGAGTAGTAGTAGCTGCAGTAGAGGTAGTAGTGGTGACAGCGGCAGTAGCAGCAACATGAGTAGCAGGAGAAGTACTAAGACTCATTGAGGAGGATGAGGAGGACGAGCAGCAGGAGGAGGGGGGGTTGCATCAAGAACAGGAGTAGAGGTCATGGCTGTCGCACCTTCAGTGGTGGTAGCAGCAGGAGCAAGACCAAGACCCTAAAACCCTAAACTCTGAACCCTGAACCCTAAAACCCTAAACGCTGAACCCTAAACAGTCAACAGAAGTGGCAAGTCGTGGATCATGGGACCGGGAGTCTTTCCCAGCCTGCTTGTTGCGGTTCGGCATTGCCATGCTGATGACGGTCACTTTGGACACCTCCCGATGTTGCTGTAGGCGGCAACCTTATATGTACCATCTGAGCTGATGAGTATGTACAATTCAGGATTGAGCTCGAAAGGAAGGAAACATCGAACGATTGTACGAGTGCACGGATGCACAAGTTGACAACTGCCGGATGGCTGAAAGAAACGTCGACTCATGTCCATCCCCACTATGAAATTAGGACCCCAAAACCATTATTAGGATGGTCTTTTGGGGCCTTGTTCCATAATGGCAGTATATATATATATATATATATATATGTGGACGCTCTGGGATCCCGGATCACATGCAAACGTTGAAGGAGGCATGAGTGCAAGGCCTGAAGTACACAGAGCCGCCGGGCCAAAACCAAACCGTAGGATTCGAAAGTCTCTGGCGTTTACGGGTTTAGAGTTTCGGGTTATATAGAAATATTAAATCAACTTATATATATATATAATTTGATATATATATATATATATATATATATATATATATCAAACTGCTATAGAGCTCCAGATCGTAAGCCTGAAGCCGAAGTTACTGCGCCCGCAAAGACTCTCTTGGCACTGGTCTCTGGCATCTGTGGTATTCGTTAGAAGGGGCCCCCACCCTGTAATAGCGGTATAATAGGAATATAGTAGGGCCCGAATATAATCCTTATAGTCACTATTACAGGGTGGGGGCAGCTTCTAAGGTATTCGACCCTATTCCCTACCTGACCGTCAGCACCCTCAGTGCAGTCTAAAGTTTCAAGGCTTTGAAATCATGTTCTCTTGAAGCCCTGCAGCCCAAGCCCCAAGCCTACGAGCCCCAAACTGTCAACCAACCCCTATACAAACGCCCTCCAACACCAGAAAACCTTCATAGAACCAAGCCCCAGGCCTATGAGCCCAAAACTCTCAATCAACCCCTAGACAAACCTCACAAAACTAAAAACAAAAAAACAGCAAACCTTCATAGAACATCCCAAAGGACCCATGCCTTAAACCCTAAGGCATCCTAAACCCACAACCCAAAGGCCTCAAACCCCAAAGCCCACCCTGACCTTGGGCAAGAAGGGGTAGCCAACCTGGGGCTGATAATGAAGATGTAAGCCATAAACTGTTTAGGCTTTAGGGTTCAGGGGTTTAAAGGCTTTAGGAGGTTAGGGGTTAGGGTTTAAGGGTTTAGGGTTTAGGGTTCAGGGGTTAGGTTTTAGGGGTTTAGGGTTTAGGGGTTTAGGCTTTAGGGTTCAGGGGTTTAAAGGCTTTAGGAGGTTAGGGGTTAGGGTTTAAGGGTTTAGGGTTTAGGGTTCAGGGGTTAGGTTTTAGGGGTTTAGGGTTTAGGGGTTTAGGCTTTAGGGTTCAGGGGTTTAAAGGCTTTAGGAGGTTAGGGGTTAGGGTTTAAGGGTTTAGGGTTTAGGGTTCAGCAGCTCCGGATCAGCGTTTTATAGTAGAGTTGTATTTACGGCTTTGATGTACACCCACCCACCCATAGAATCCCATAACAATAAGCAATATAAAGTTCTTTCATCATCATTCAGAGAGTTCTACCTACAATTTTAGCTTGTCAAAAACTTTTATGTTGCCTTTTACTATGTTTTAAAGTTATTCACACACCATTAGGAAAATAAACGGTTCATATTCCTCACACAGTTGTCGAGATTAGACTTACTCCTTCCAACCACCGGTTTACTGCCTTCAGCCCTAAAAGCCCCCCGCCCTAAGCCTTAAAAGCCCAAACCCTAGGCCCTAAACCTAAAGCCCAAACCCTAGGCCCTAAACCCTAAAGCCCAAACCCTAGGCCCGAAACCCTAAAGCGCAAACCCTAGGCCCTAAACCCTAAAGCCCAAACCCTAGGCCCTAAACCCTAAAGCCCAAACCCTAGGCCCTAAACCCTAAAGCCCAAACCCTAGGCCCTAAACCATAAAGCCCAAACCCTAGGCCCCCTAAAGCCCAAACCCTAGGCCCTAAACCCTAAGGCCAAACCCTAGGCCCGAAACCCTAAAGCGCAAACCCTAGGCCCTAAACCCTAAAGCCCAAACCCTAGGCCCTAAACCCTAAAGCCCAAACCCTAGGCCCTAAACCCTAAAGCCCAAACCCTAGGCCCTAAACCATAAAGCCCAAACCCTAGGCCCTAAACCCTAAAGCCCAAACCCTAGGCCCTAAACCCTAAGGCCAAACCCTAGGCCCGAAACCCTGAAGCGCAAACCCTAGGCCCTAAACCCTAAAGACCAAACCCTAGGCCCTAAACCCTAAGGCTCAAACCCTAGGCCCTACACCCTAAAGCCCAAACCCTAGACCCTAAACCCTAAAGCACAAACCCTAGGCCCTAAACCCTAAGGCCAAACCCTAGGCCCGAAACCCTAAAGCGCAAACCCTAGGCCCTAAACCCTAAAGCCCAAACCCTAGGCCCTAAACCCTAAGGCTCAAACCCTAGGCCCTACACCCTAAAGCCCAAACCCTAGGCCCTAAACCCTAAAGCCCAAACCCTAGGCCCTAAACCCTAAAGCCCAAACCCTAGGCCCTAAACCATAAAGCCCAAACCCTAGGCCCTAAACCCTAAAGCCCAAACCCTAGGCCCTAAACCCTAAGGCCAAACCCTAGGCCCGAAACCCTAAAGCGCAAACCCTAGGCCCTAAACCCTAAAGCCCAAACCCTAGGCCCTAAACCCTAAGGCTCAAACCCTAGGCCCTACACCCTAAAGCCCAAACCCTAGGCCCTAAACCCTAAAGCCCAAACCCTAGACCCTAAACCCTAAAGCCCAAACCCTAGGCCCTAAACCCTAAGGCCCAAACCCTAGGCCCGAAACCCTAAAGCCCCATATAGTATATACTTAGACCTTTAGGGGGAAACTATATACGTACGTGAATGCGTAAGTCTATACTATAATAATTTAGGTACATGGAGCCGTCGGGGTGGGGCTTATGGGCTCTTTAACCTGTTGTTACGGGTACACTTCTCGATTTCTAGCCAGGATGGGCTCAGTCTTTTCGTCTATAGGACAGGGATACATGATCTGGTGCAGCCAACGGGCATCGCTGCCACCACGGAAAACCTCATCGCAAACATGAGCGTCAAACTTGCTCGCCGTTTCCAGGAAATACAGAAGCCATCAAACTAAAGACTGTCCATATAACTGTCTAGGAAGTGTGGGCGCTATCGAATCATCCTCATGCCTAATCCCAAACCCAAAGATCCACGGGCTCTGACAACTCGACAGCCCACAACCCACGAAACTAAAGCCCCACCCAAAAGCCTGAAACCAAAACCTGTAAGCCTAGAGAGCTCTATGAACGACGACCCGTATGCTCGGACCCTATGCACAAAAAGTAACAAGGAGCAACGGCCGCACGTGCAATGTAAAACCTGTACCCTGCAGACTCGCCTAAAGCCTCATATCCTACCTGGACCCCACAAGTATGTATCTAGAACCATGGCCTTTCTCAGGCGTTGGGCCATTATGTACCTAGTCTACTAGTTCTGTGGTTTTCGGTAAACCCTAAAGCCCCCAAAAGGCCCAAACCGATATCCCAAGCCCTGTGAGTTAAAAAGTCGCCTCCACCTCCGGGGAGACTAGGCAGCCTTCTTCCGGGATGTGGCAAAGCCAGGGCCTTAATGTGGCTACAGGGTTGACGGTTCAGTTGTTTTTGTTGGTTTACCCCAAGGGTCCATGCACCCAAGTAGAGATACATGAGCCACAAAGTTCCTAGATAGGGACTACATTAAGGCCAATGTACATACTATACGACTACATGGACCCTTAGGGTTACGTAAGGGTTGGGGCTGTTGGCTTGATTTTAGGTTATGCCTAACATGCAGTCTCAAGTCAGTTTCTATAAAGCCCTTATGGAGTTTGGAATATGGAAACCCAGGTAAATGCCCTACTGTTTGGATACTTGAACACCGTATGCGGTTTGTGATTACCAACAGTGTTCCGTAGGGAAGGGTTCTCTGGCGCATCTATACCTTCTTAGGGAAGCCCTAAACCCCAAGCCGTGCACCTCAAACCCCCTAAACTCAAAGCTCTGGGGCACTAAACCTCAAACCCTCTAAGCCCTAGAAGGCACACAGCTGACGGATCGCAAGCCGGACGGGGCTTCCATCAGCGTTTAGGGTTTCGAGTTTAGGATGAAGGGCGTGGGGTTTAGAGGGCTTCGGGTTTTGGGTCTAGTTTAGGGCTTAGGGGGTGTATCGGGCGTAGTAGGGTTTATGAAGTTTGGGGCTTACAGGGATTCGGGTTTAAAGGCTTAGAGCTTTGAGCTTCGAGTTGAGGGTAGTCCACTGGCAGAGATCTGATCCGGCCTTCCGGCTGAGGTGTGGGCGTATTTTGAGGCGTCACTGACGGATTGCAGCTCTTGGGTGGCGCGACCTTCTCGGCCCTGGCGGAACGGTTTTTTTTTCCTAGGTCCTAGGTCTGGTCCGCCCCGGCTTGATTTCCTAAGTCTGGTCCACTGGTTGTGGTTGCAAACAGCGGCAACTGCAGTCTTTGCTTCTATTTTGCATCAAGCTATTGGGGAACTAGAATTTGACGGCTCTGGTTTTGCTTCTGTTTTGCATGAAGCTATTGGGGAACTACAACTCGCGGAGTCTGATTTTGCTTGTGTTTAGCATCAAGCTGTTGGGGAACCACAAGTTGCAGGGTTGGGTTTTCTTTGTGTTTTGCATGAAGCTATTGGGGAGTTCGCATTTGCAGGGATCGGTGTTGCTTGTGTTTTGCATCAAGCTATTGGGGAACTACAATTCGCAGGGTCTTGTTCTGGTTCAAGCTATTAGGGAACTACAATTGCGGTGTGTTCTTCTGCTTGTGTTTTGCATGAAGCTATCAGGGAACTACAATTTGCGGTGTGTTCTTCTGCTTGTGTTTTGCATCAAGTTAATGGGGAACTACAATTTGCGGGGTCGGCTTTGTGTTTTGCATCAAGCTATTGCGGAACTACAATTTGCAGAGTCTTTTATTTTTTGTGTTTTCCATCAAGCTAATGGGGAACTAGCATTTGCAGGGTCTGGTTTTGCTTGTGTCTTGCATGAAGCTATTGGAGCACTACAATTTGCAGGGTCGTGTTTCGCATGTGAATATTGCGGGATTACAATTTCAAATCTTCTGTATTGTGTCGTTGTTTTTTGGTGTCGTTGTCGACATCCTCGTCATCGTCGTCGTCCTCGTCCTCGTCGTTGCCGTCGTGGTAGTTGTTCTTGTTGTTGTTGTTGCTGTTGCTGGTGTTCTTATTGTTGCTGTTGTTGTTGTTGTGGTTGTCGTGGTGGTTGTGGTTGTGGCTGTTGCTGTTGCTGCTGTTGTTGTTGTTGTTGTTGTTGTTGTTGTCAGACCGACGTGTTGTTGCTTTTGTTGCTGTTGTTGTTGTTGCTGCTGTTGTTGTCGTTCTTGTTGTTGTTGTTGTTGTTGTTGTTGTTGTTGCAGTTGTTGTTGTTGTTGTCGTTGGGTTGTTGTTGTTCTTGTTGTTGTTGATGTTGTTGCTGTTGTTGTTGCTGTTGTTGTTGTTGTTGTTGTTGTTGTTGTTGTTGTTGTTATTATTGCTGTTGTTGTTGTTGTTGTTGTTGTTGTTGTCGTTGGGTTGTTGTTGTTCTTGTTGTTGTTGATGTTGTTGTTGTTGTCGTTGTTGTTGTTGGTGTTGTTATTTGTTGTGTGTTGCTTGTTGTTTGTTGCTAGTTGTGTTAATTGCTAGTTGTGTTAGTTGTTTAGTTGTTAGTTGTTAGCTGCTAGTTGCTAGTTGTTAGGTGTTAGTTGTTCGTTGCTAGTTGTTAGTTGTTGGTGTTAGGTGTTACTTGTCAGTTGTTGGTTGTTATTTGTCAATTTGTGAGTTGTGCGTTGTTAGTTGTTTCTTGTTAATTGTTAGTTGTTTCCTGCTTCTTGTTCCTTGTTTATTGTTTGTTGTTTCTTGTTTGTTCTTTCTTGTTTCTTGTTAGTTGTTTGTTGTTAGTTGTTTGTTGTTAGTTGTGCTAGCTATTTAGTTGTTTGCTGTTAGTTGTTTGTTGTTTGTTACAGACAGACAGACAGACGGACAGACAGACATGGATGCTGCGGCCTGAAGGGTGCGCGTCGCCCCGAAGAGCTGTCAGAAGCAGGAGAACCGCAGCGCAGTTGCGACTGGCTCTTTTTGTGTCTTGCAAGCCGAGTGCCTGCCGCACATTGCGTCCCCCTACAATGTGAGACCGCGCAAGAAGCTGTCAGGTGTACGACATTTGCTATTAGCCTCCCTGATTAAAGTTGGAACCTGTGGTTTGAGCCAATATGCTCCTGTGGACGTGTTCCAACTTTCGGCTTCCATCCTACGTATTTGGTTCTTTGGACCCTTCCGTCTAGATGGGCTGGCTGCTTCACAAACCTGCAGGAAAGTTTCGAACGTGGTACTGTTGGCTACTAGAGATCGTAAATGGAAAGGACCAGGGGACCAGGGACCATGGGACCAGACCTAGCAAGGCCCCCGAGACCGGACCAGACCTAGGAAAAACAAAACCGGGGACCCTCTCGGCCCTGCAGAGACAACAAAGCCTGGGGCTCCATCTACCTAAGTAGTAAGTTACTCGCCGTATATATATATATATATATGTATATATATATATATATATATATATATATATACCAAGTATACATATATGTATACATTCGCATGCATATGGGTAGTTGTCAAAATTGTGGCCCCTTTTTGGGTACCCTAGATAATAGGTGCCGTAAAATAATAGGGACCCCAAAAGGGACCACAGTTTTGACAACCACCATATATATTTGTATATTATGGTGTATATAAAAATATGTGTACATATTCTTCTACAATCCAGTAAGTGGATATTTAGGAAACTGGAGCCCTAGAAAGGGTTCGCAAACATGGAGCTAGCGGCTAACCCCAATCGCCCGGTATCTTGAGACGCGCAACCATTAGCCCCACTTTCCGTGCCGAAAGCCTGGCACTATGTTACCCTAAGGGTCCATGTACTCATATAGTATATACATGGGCCTTAATGTAATCCCTATATGGGTACTTTGGGGCTCCTGTATCTCTATATGGGTACATGGACCCTTAGGGATATGTCGTGATGGGAGTTGCGAATCAGAACTTCCGGCTTCGAAGTCTTGTGAGGATTCCGACGAAAAGCCTGCAGGAGATATGGGTCGTTTTCAAAATTATGGTCCCTTCTGGGGTCCCTATTAAAATACGGCACCTATTGTTTAGGGTACCCAAAAAGGGACCATAATTTTGACAACCACCCATATGTTGAAGCATTAAGACAGTGTTGCGATTTGCTCAATGACCCCAAGGCCTGCAGGTTTGTGTGGGTGGGAACTGAAATACTCTTCTCTTACAGGTATGGACCGAACCCTAGCGGCATCTGCTGCAGGCTCCCTGCATGTACTATACTCTATAATTAATTAAGCCTTTCGATCATGTTGGTACCCGTGTGCAACAACGCTATGTCTACGAGACTGGTCTCTGACTACGTCGTAGTCAGCATCGTCGCTGTAAGGATGTCAGGTCGCCGATGCCATTGCATCCGTTCCCAAGGCCGAACTAGGATTGCTGCCAATGCATCCGCTTTCACCGAGCATCCACCCTAAGGGTCCATGTACTCATATAGTATATACATCGGCCGAAATGTAGTCCCTACATAGGTACTTTGGGGCTCATGTATCTCTACATGGGGCCATGCTTGAGGTTTCGGAGGTCCCAGCGCCGGTGGTGGTGGAGGCCTCGCCAGCGCAGAGGCAGTCTGCAGGGACGCGAAGAGGGTAGAGCGCATGCAGAGCGACCTGGGATGGCACCGACAGGTCACGACCGTAGGATTTCTGTTTCCGCTGTTTGTTTGTGATTCAGTGCTGATGCCAAGCAAGCCTGAGGTCTATGAAGACACCATCACGAATCCATGAATTTAACCTGAACTATAAGATCTGTTAAAAACACCTGAAAAACGCACATGTATAGGGAGCTGAAGACCGAACGAGTGTCAATACATGGCAACGCTGTTCTGCGATCGTCCCTATGAAGTTGAACCGAACACACCCTCAAGCCCACGCATGGCAAGCTCCAGCATCAAATGCTGAACCTTCGCACCCAAACCAGCAAAGCTTCAACACCGCATATATGTGATGGTTGCTCCTCTTCAGCGACCTAAGGGTCCATGTATCCATACAATTACTAGACACTTTGGCCCTAAAGTACTTATGTATGGACTACTTTAAGGCCTATGTATACACTATAGAGGTACATGGACCATTTGGGTGGTTTCTTGACAGCTTAATCCTACTACCCTGCTTTAACACCAAGGCTCTCTCTCATATGGCATAGAAACCTACCTGTAGGCTCATACCCTACCCCCTTTTCTGGGGTATCTAATTTTCTATATTAAAGATCCTGACCATAAAACTAGGTATTCAACAAAGGGGTAAGGTATGAGCCTCTAGGTAGCACTGTCCCAAAGAACGCCTTATTGTTTCCTTGGATGATTCCTTAAGAAGGTCATTACCCTAAAACCCTGATCCCTCAACCCCTAGGATTGTTGTTTTGGGCTTAGGTCCTGGGGTTTACTTGGAGGTTCATGGATACTTATAAGTGGGGTGGTAAGTCCCTAACCCACATTATAAGCATAGTTGCCCTGCTTATAACCCTACTTATAACTACCCATGAACCTCCAAGTAGGACGAGGCACTCCTCAAGGGCGTGGCGCCCTCCCGTCAGGAAGCCGCCGCCTGCTCTTTAAGGCCTTCGGGAGGGTTCGTTTAAATGCAGGGTTCAGGGTTTGGGGGTTCAGAGGTTGGGGTAAATTATAGGGAGGGCTCTTTTTGAAGGTAAGTTGCTGGGTTTCGGGGTTTAGAGCGGTGTGGTTGCGATAGGAATGGTGTTATGGGGTATATCATATGATTAAATATAATCGAGTTCATGAGGAACTTTTGGGAATATATAGTGGGTTATTAGAGCCTTTTTTATCGTATGGCGAATCTGTAATCAATAATGTTGCAGATTGCTCCTCTTGACGCCTTCCGGAGGGATCCTTATGGATTCTCCAATTGTTACTCGACGGATCCTTTATGACGGCTACGGTATGGCTGAGTCTCTAATGGCTGCGAAAGGTTCATGGATGCTGCATTTGAAAGTGAAGGGCTGGCTGGGACTTAGGGGCGAAGGGTATCTTAGGGTGCTCTACTGCAAGTCTTCGAGGAGACTAGGGCTGTCAGCACTCCTGGGTTTGGGGTTTGCCCAGGACCCCCCCAATAAAGGGCTCACATTTTTCTCATTAAGAGTAGTTAGAGGCGACAATAATACAGGGTAGTTGGGGGGTCTAGGGTGGTGGAGGATCTCTGGGGTTAAGGGTTTAGGGGTTGAGGGTTTGGGTATTGCCTTAGGTGCTTGGGTTGAGGGTGTATGGGCATGGAGGGGCTAGCGGTGTAAGGCTCAGAACGTAAAGGATGCCTTTGTCATGCAAACCTTCCTGATCCTGAAGTGTCGTACCTCCGTTTCGTTTGCCCTAGCCTTTTATACATACACGTAAACTTGACTATACTGTGATCAGTACTTCTTGCTTTTCAGTTTCTTGGCTTGCAGCTTTCAGTGCCAACACAGCCTGCATGGTAGGCTGATGCAGCGTTGACCACGGCAACCTCGGAAGGAGAAACGGCGCAAAGCTTTCTCTTCAAACGCACACGAGGAGCGGGCAACGACTTTCATTTGATGTGGCTACATCTGCTTGAGAGATACAGGGGTTGCATGCATATATATATATATATATACATACACACAAATACATGCATACATACATGCACGGCTTCATGTGTATACTTCAGTATCAACGTATGTTGGCACATGTGAAAGCCTGCAAGAGTCTTGCATGTTGTTGTGGACTGATGTAAGCATGTTCGTGTGTGAGAGAGAAGTACATGTCTGCATAATTATGCATGTACCTACATTGTCAATTGGATTTCCTTGCCGCCTGCCTCTATGTATGTTCCCTCGTATGCAGGCATCTGCCGGTACACACACACACACACACTCGGCACGCCCACGGACTGGGATGTTTGTGTCTGTACTGTTCCTTATCATAATTATAGCACGGGGCCCTAAAACTCTACCCTTATAGATCCCTTATAGTAACCCCTTTACAGGAACCCTAGTGTGTGCTCAGGCATATTAGGCAAACCGCCGAAAGGAGTCAGGGGGAACCATTCCCAGTTTGCCGTGGTGCCATATAGTACGTTTGCGCACCCACCCATGGGGGAAATCAAGCATACATACCCAGTACTTCATTAGAGAAACCGTACTTGTTTAAGGTTTGTGATTTATAGCCCTTGTCCAGATGTAATTGTGGAGCCTCAAAAACAAGGCTCTGACTTGCTGCTCAGCTTTGGACAGCCATGATGCAGCACCAAGCAGCCTTTCGACCCCAAGACGTCAGCTCGCATGCCACGTCAAGAAGGAAGCCTGCCGCCTACACTGGCTCTGTCAGCTCACGCAGCATCCACGGGGAATCTTCAGGATTTATAAGTAAATCCATGGAGAATATTTAAGGGACGAGAAGTATGTCCAGCCTAGGTGCCCGAAAGTATCTTCGACGGCAGGTGTTGCAGCGAACTCAACCCAATCCCAACGCATAGGGAGAATGCCACGGCCGATTTTGTCGAGCCCGTCCCTCACTGGCAGTCAGTGTGGCACCAACGCACGACTCGATTCCAATGAGTGTAGATTGCAATCCTCCTGCTTTCGTTCTATAAGTCATCAGGTCGAAAATCGCAGCCGGCAGCATAGATGACCTGACACCTTGAGAACAGCACTTCCATGCTACAATCCTGAAAGCCAAGATAAGGCTCTAAAACCGAGCGCTAAAGTGAACTCCAGAAAGTTGGAACATGGATTTAGGATGATTGGTGCGGGGATTCCCTATACTTTACAGTAAGGTTATGAGGTTTATGATGTTCCAACGTTCTGGCTGCTACTGTAAATCATACAAACCCGAAAAGTGGGAGAACCAAAACGAGCCATGCACTCGGACTGCCACTCGCCAGAGCCCTCTGCTGTTTAAGTATTGTAGGGGGCCTTAACAATTAGAACAGGGTTTTGAGGTACATTATGCTATAAGTATACATATAATGAGGAAGCCCCAAAAAACATATAAGTAATGATTAAGGCCCCTATGTTAGCTCCAGCTGCTGCGGCGGGCTAGTTGGGAGAAGCCGGAACGAAGGCACGGTTCCGTGCAGAAGCAACCGATCATAAGCCTCGGGGCCCTGAAGGGTGAACCTGAATAGAAGTCTAAATCCTCAATGGTAACCTCCGTCCTCGAAGCCATCGCTAGCACTAAGGTTCCATGTATAGTTTATGGACCCAAATACCGTAAACTCTCTGGTCCCCCTCTTTTAGAAGGCTTATAGTACACTTATATCGAACACTTATAAACTTATGCACAACATGTTTTGGAGCACTAATGTAGGATCCTGCTTAAGAAACCCTGGGCTCTATAACCCCCAAATAGTAGGATTCATATTAGGAACCCTAGTAAAGGCCCAAGGTTTCTTAATCAGGTTCTTACATTAAGCTAAGTTTACGGTTTATAGGGATCTTGTTTTTAGGAATCAGGGTTTAGGGTTTGTTTACGGTTGGGTGAGCGTCCTGAAGCCGGTACTTTCAGCACCCTGCAGACGGCAGAGCGCAGGAGCTCTAAACTCCAAAACAAAAACCTTAAACACTGTAGGCTTTAGGCGATCTGGGTTTAGGGTCAGGGCTTAGGGTATATATGTATATGTGTGTATATCTATATATATATATATATATGTTTGTATATATATATATATATATATATGTATGTATGTATGTATGTGTATATATATATGTATATATATATATATATATATATACATATACAACGATAGACATACACACATAAAACCCACATCAGCCTAAAGCCCCCACAACTCAGCAGGATTGCGGCTTTCCTGGAGCATGGCGCTGCAGCCGCGCTTTTGGAGCTCCCATCTGCATCGCATGGGCTCCACGGACAAGGCGCGTGTTCGCCTGGGAGGTATAGTGCGTAGGGCTTAGGGCTTGCGGATAGGCTGAACTGGGTAAGTAGGGGTTAGTAGTATATGATTCAAGGTGATCATGAGATCCATGCCCGTTCTGAAAGGTTCTATTTTGGGTTCCAATCTATAGCTTAGTCTATATACGTACTGAATCCTGTCAGGTCTCTTCGTAGGCTCTATAAAGGCTTGAGAATTGTACATTAAACTAGTAGTTCCGATCATACTCCCAACTTGACCTAGTTGCTGAGTTCATGAGCCCCACAAAGTGTACACTTTCAGTTTTATAGTGGGCAATATTATCCCAAGAAGTGTAAAGTGTATCCACTCAACTACTAAGTTGACCTAATGTAGAATTTCTCGGGACCACCCCAAAAAAAGACTTTGGTCGCTCCAGGCATGACTTTGTGACTCTCAGGGCAGAACATCGCAGTGCTGTTTTGGGTCTCTCATCTCCTTCCTGTCTTGCACACCAATACCATGTAATGTAGGGGCTTTAATCATCAGAATAGGATTTTGTGGGGCTCCATATTTTGATGATAGTATAATATACCCCCTAACCTCTCTCTAATTATCAAGGCCCCTATATTGACTGCCAAAGTTTGCCAGTTGAGGCAGCTCAGCCGAGTCAATGCTTAGCACGGCCGTTCGGCATCTGACGAAGGGCGCGCAGCGCGGCAACCGAAACCAAGTCGAACTGCCGGCCGTCTAAGACATATCCACCTGGTTTTTGTTGGTGTTGGGCTTCAGCTTGGAAAGTTAGCTTCAGGGATTGGACATAGAATGCTTCTGTTTCTGCGATGCCAAGGCATGTAAATCTAAACCTCAATCCTCAACAAGCTAGACACCTGTTCTGCAACACCGCATCTGAGCAGCCTACTTGCCTGATCATTGCCTAGATTCGGATCCGCATACAAGCGTACAGGGTCTGTGGAACCATATGTAGGTTGTTCTTTCTCCATTGTCGTCAAGCCTGAACACGAAACCCTTCATCAGAGTCAGCAGGGTTTCATTTAAAAAACAATCCAAGCACCCCCACACCCTAAGACCCCCACCCCGCAAGCTTATTAGGCACTTTGCATCTTAAACCCACTCGTCAATCTTAAACCCTGCACTCCCATAGAACCCAAAGACCAAAGACGCCACGCGTGCAAATACCTCCTGCAAGCAAATAACACCAACCAAAAGCTCGCGGAGCCTAATTAAGTCCCTACCGCACGGGTCCAAGGAATCTAATGACTGGGTACTTGGGTTATGTTTAGAGGGCGGTGGGGGTCCAAGCATTAGGGCTCTGGGTTTTTTGAATGGCAGTTCGGTATGTACTTGCAGCAGCGAGTAATTTGTTTATGATTCTTAGGTGCTGGACTCCGAGGGCTATATACATTGCCCAATAGGTACATCATTTGGCCCCAAAGTACCCGTATTGGGACTACATTAAGGCCAAGAATACACGATTTGTGTACACTTTAGGGGTAGGTGCCGACGATCGCCTGCGTCACATGCGGCGATTGTCTCCTCCGCGGCGCTGCGCCTCATTTGCCTCTCGCCGGGGCCGTTCGCCTGCAAGCATCAGGGCTTCGGGCATTCGGCTGTTGACGGTTTTTGCATGAGTATAATTACGGCTGTACATGTTCATACCTACCTACATAGATATATGGTATATGAGTTGGAGACATTTTAGCTGCCTGCCTATATAGCTACCTCCGTCCAGGGATTAGGGGTTTGTGGTTCAGGGTCTACCGTTTTGGGCGACACCGTAAACCCTAAACTGCCCATGCCGTGAACTCAGAAGCATTCGACACGTCCCAAATAGCTGAACCTGCTTGCAGAGGGGCGGTCGCGGGTAAGGCTGATTTAGACTCACAGCACCTAGGCAACATGTAGTAACTTAGTAAGGTGTGAACAAAGCTACGGCCCATGTACTACCGCGAGTCCTAGGTATCAACGAATTTAGGTCTTGGGCAGTGCAAGATTATAGTAAAACACGGCATATCATAACTGACAGCTGAGTAACTCAGCACGTTCTATGCAGCTGCAGCTCAGGAAGCAAGAGCTAAGCACATAGAGCTCGAAGGATTTCGGACTAATGAAGGGTTTATAGGGTTCAGGGTTTACCTAGACCCTGAACAACCTACCTTGTTAAGGACTTATATATGGTGTATATACTGAAATCCTAATAAGGAGCCCTCGAGGTAGGGTTTAGGATTCGGTGCTCTCGATGATCGGTGCAGCCGAAGCCACCTTTCGGATCCAGTCGTAGTCCGGCCCTGTGCGGGAGCACTGCGAGATTAATCTAGAGTCCTTTATACTTAGAATCGGATTTGGGGGTATACTATACGATAGTTGTAATGATGAGGAACCCACCAGTTAGTACGTATAGGCAATCATTATTTAAGCCCCTATGATAGTAAGGTGGAGACTTCTGCAGGCAGCATTGGGGAAGACAAAGATGGAACGAAAGACACTGCGGACAGTAAAATACTAGGATTCCTCCAGGACCGAGCCCTCAACTGAAGAGGCAGCAGCCATCTGGGACTTACGATGAGGGCTGTAGCAGTGAGACAGGCAGCAGAACTGTAAGTAGACGTAGCACCTGTAATTATTTGTTATTGCTGTCATGGTGACGCTGAGAAACAGCATTTCATAGTTGCGGTGTTGAGGTGGCACTGAAACTCGCTTTTGAACCTGATGTGACTATCCGTGCGGCTTTTCGCTCGTAAGAAGTCTAGGTATACAAAGAAGGCAGGGCAAGCACTTCAAGATTCTCGTTAGGCTGTTGTATACAGTTTCATGGTTTCAGGTGACCACACACTTCCCATGAAAGCACCAACTCCGCATGTGTTTGCTGGTTTGAAGACGCCTGCCCAAAACCCTCAAAGCCCGCACCGTGAACCTCGGCAGCACCTCCTGCCGTTTGGAGCTCAAGGTGCTTAGCGGAAATACGACAAGGCCACAGCTCCTGCGGTGTAGGGTTTACTGCTTTAATCCTCGACTCATGCGCAAAGACTCCATTTTCGACCAATCATCGGTCCCCGACCTATGGGACCCTTACTAGGACTATATCAAACAATCATCACAACACGGAGGCCTCAAGAATTAGGATCGTTAGGGTGTAGCACAGTTACTATAAGGAACAATAGACGGTAGTTTGGTTACAACAGTCTTTGTGCCCAGCTATCATTGCACACCAACCTGGAAAACCCAATACTGCCGTCTATAGAAGCTTTTACAGGAGCCCTCGGTAATGGCTTCAAAGGAATCCCGGGACAGGCTTAAAGCCGCCTTGCAGTCGCCCTGCTGCCGGCGAAGTGTAGGATGGCAACGATGCAGACTGCACATTGGGGTTCTAGGATGCCGAGTAGCCTAGGAATAAAAAGGGCTCCCCTTTTGGTATTGGGTAACTGTATAAGGAACCTAGGACTACAAAAGGGAATACGTGTACTACTAGGCATCCTAGCCCTTAATTCTCGAAACCCCTAAACCCTTTATAGAACCCTTATAGATCCCTTTAAGGAACCCGCCTAGGGTTTGGGTTTGGGCGTTTGGGATTTTAAGGCTCGGGGCTTGGGACGTCAGGCTCTGGCGGTGGTGTCGGGAATCTCAGTTGATTTCCTATCTACGGAATGTAGGGTTCCTTTCGCCGTGGACATGACAACCATGATTCATGAGGTCCCTCGAAGCTCCTATGGTGGCGTCTTTGGCACGGTATTGCTGGTGTAGTTGCTTGAGTGATCGGTGTAAATCCCTGCCAGGAGCCAGTACCTCGTTGACACGGTGGTTCATGCTCTTCTCTTTGCAACTAAAACGTACAGATGGCTAGGAAATTAATCCGGGAATCCATGTCCACCTGAACCCTCAAGCCCTGCTTGAACAAACAAAACATTGCGTGTTTTACAACCCATTATTATGATGTCCTTGTATTATAAGCAACCGAGATCTGCCTGAAGGACTAAACCCTAAACCCTACCTCAACCCCAAAGAACCTACCTTTCAAGGCCTAATATAGGCAGAATCATACGAAGGAGCTCTAGACAGGTAGGTCTCTTCGGGTCCAGGTAAGCACTAAAGGTCTCGAGTCCCCAGCCCCAAAGGACTGCCGGAGGTCTATCCGACCTTGGCAGAGGCCTGCTGCCACGAAGGGCTGAAGCCAACACCTTAAGGGTTTAGGGCTTAGCACCTCAAGGGTTTTGGGTTTAGGGGTTTGGGGTTCAAGGTTTAGCACCTCAAGGGTTTAGGGTTTAGGGGTTTAGGGGTTTAGGGTTTAGGGTGTAGGGTTTAGGGGTTTACGGTGTGGACTCGATCGAGGCTCCGAGGTAGCAGGCGGGAAATCTGGCACTTAACTGCAAACCCTGAACCCTGAACCACAAAGTCTACCTAGACCCCCAACTACCCAACTACCCATGACATAAGTGGGGTTATAAGTCTCCTCATAAGGGTTACAAGTATAGATACCTTACTTATAACCCTAACTATAACTACCCATGACCCTCCAAGTATAGTAGACAGTTAAGTTAAGGACCATAAGGGCTCTATTAATGGGCACTTCGGGGGGTGCTGGTAGGACTCCCGCAACATTGGATCCTGCATCAGCCCTAAGCCTTGACCAGCAAGCTATGCCGCAGCAGCAACTCGACTTGCCGTGCGGCATCAGGGAAACAGCTCCAGTGCAGCACCCAATATAAGGGTTAATATAAGGGTTACTGTAGGGTTACTACAAGGGTTACTGTAGGGGTACTATAAGGGTTACTATAAGGGCACTAAAGGGTCCCTATAAGGGTACATTACAAGTTCAGTTTGTCTCGATCAATAGCAAACCGGCACAAATTGAATCTTTGCCAGGCCCGCCATCTAGAAGCAGATAGTCACAAGGCACCGTGCGTCTGTGAGTGCTTCACATGCTTCCGGCCAACGAGCCTGGTCAGAACAATCTCCGGGCATCATGGAGCCCGTGATCCCTAAACCCAAAACCCTAAACCCCAAAACCCTCAGCCCCAAAACCCTAAACCCCAAAACTCTAAACTCCAAAACCCTAAGCCCCAAAACCCTAAGCCCCAAAACCCTCAGCCCCCAAACCCTAAACCCCAAGACCCAAAACCCCAAAACCCTAAGCCCTATAAACCCTAGGTAACAACACACCTCCCATCAAGACGGGGTTTCAACGAGCCCACAAGCCTGAACCCCAAACTTTGTCGCCCCAGACCCGTCGAAACCAAATTTCATTGCCAAACCACCACTTATCAAGGGCTCTGAGTGCAGCATGTGTGTCTTAGGACTTTAGGGTTAGGGAGGGCTTAAGGGACAAGGGTTTCAAGGTCTCTACCTACAGTCTCCATGGTACTTCTTTTTTGGTTTAACCAAAAATGTAATTAGTGTCCTAGAAGGTAGCCCCAAAAAGGAACGGCAATGGAAACCACAGGGGACTTTGAAGTAGCAAATTGTTCAAGCATGGTACTCCAGAACCCAGAACCGGATCCCATTCCCAAGGGACACTTATTTGGCAGCATATGAATTTGATTTGGGACGGTAGCCCATACTCTTAGCCCTAACCTCCTTTTCCTTACATCAAAAGCCGTCTGGCTCTCTCACATAACTTCCTGAAATCAGCAAAATATGAAATCTCAGGAACCCTAAAGCCTAAACCCAAAAAAAGTCACCCAGCCCCTCAATCCCACACTGTTTTGCACCCGTAGGACTCAGGGCTCGGGGTTTAGGGTTTAGGGTTTAGGGAGCAAACCGACAAGCCACTGCCAGCTGAAGAGGTCGACACTGATGCACTCAGCATGCTCGGAGGAGATGCAGCCGGAACCTGCTTTGATTGCTACTCGGAGGCTCATGGGTAGGTATAGATGTGGTTATAAGCCTCCTCATTTGGGATATAACTACAGTTACTTGCGATATAACTAGAACTACCATCAGTTACCCTACTTATAACCCACACTTATAACTACCCATGAACCTCCCCGTGCATGAAAACTGAGGTTCGATAGGTGTATGACTACAAAACAGCTTCGAAGGGCTTTGAAGCCACTCGACCTAGATTGTATGCTGGCTACTGAGTGCTGCAAAGTACGATCCCGAAAATAATCAGTGATCGTCTTATCAGATAGGTGCTTTTGACCATTATTCTGGGATCGTTGACTGTGTGCTGCATGCCATTCATTCGCCGCCGACTTATCCCAGCACGGCACTTGGATTGATTCGCAAGGCCACCCTTCGATTGACATGCAGCATGCCCGTAGGATCCTGTAGGAATGCTCCTCAAACCGGCAAGATGATCCATCTCTGATTTCAGGTATGGTCCTTGATTAAGTGGTTGCGGAATCTGTGAGTATGTGGTTACACTAGAGATGGCCGCAGTGTAAGCGATTGTCCTGAAGATTTGCCCGGAAGTCCGGCAATTGCAGTTGGGTGGAAGCTTTAGACGGTCTGAACAGCCTCTCCTGAAGTTCTGCACATTGTGGTTTACGGTTTATGCTTGGAGGTTCATGAAAAGTTATCAGTGGGGTTATAAGTCCCCTAATATGGGTTATAAGTATAGTCAGTTACCCTACTCATAACCCTACTTATAACTGCACATGAACCTCTAATTAGGGTTTAGGGCTTGCAAAGGCCTTGAGCGGCAACGGTGGCTTTGCGCCAGAGTAGGGCGACTGGGGCTGCGCCACGACTGCACGTGCGGACATCGGGTTACTGTAGGGCTAGCTGATGTGCACTAGGTGCCCCCACTAATTGAAACCTTCGGGCTCCATGTACTCATGCAGCATATCTAGGATACCCAGTAACCTAAGAATAAAAAGGCCTCTCTTTTTGGTGTTGGGTAACTTTATAAGGAACCTAGGACTACAAAAAGGGAATAAGGGTACTACTGGGCATCCTAGATATACTTTGCGCCAAAAACAGTCCCTGTACAGGTACTTAAGGGCCAAACGTTCTTGCAATAGGCACGTGGATCCTGAGGGTACAGGTAACAAACCTTCGCTATGCAAAGGTTTGAGTGGAAATCCGAAATGCCATCAGCCATAACCCTAAACCCTGAGGTCTGCAAAAGAAGATAAGAGCACTGGACGAATGAAGCCCTAACATGTACCGGCCCCGTAGCGACATCTACACTAAGAACAACAATAGCAACAAGAGTAAAAGCAGAAATCAGCTACCCTGAGCAATACAAAAGAACCCCAACGGTCCACGTACCCACATAGTTTTCTACTCTTGAACTACAAGGAACCATATTGCATTGGGGCTACCTTAAGGCCAAAGTATATACCACATGGGTCAATCGACACTTCGGGGGTACACAGCTCCACTGCTCCTTTCATCTTCACTCGTCCTGATTTCTGCGCTCCTCGAATATCACTCCTTTTGACGACTTGGATTTAGGGTTTAAGTTTATGGTTTAGGAGTTAAGTTTAGGGTTTAGGGTTCAGGGCTTAGAGTTTAGGGCTTAGGTGCCCGATATCCCTCGCAGAAGAAGCTGTAGAGCCGGGTTGCTCTTTCCAGGGTCATTTCCGTAAAACGCTGGGCTCAAGAAACCTTCACACCCAAGCACGCAGGGAGTTCTACAGATCATCTGTTGCCAAGTTCTCCGGCCTCAAAATTCTTTATCTGGTCTGAGTGTGGGAGTATGCCGAACCCAGAAGGCTACTATAGGGTCCTTCTAGCAATCAGAATAGGGCACCTTTTTTTGACCAGGATCACTGAGGAATGTTATTGGCAACTTTTCAGGCTTCCAAGTTGCAGAACCCTGAACCCTAAACCCTAAACCGGCCAAACACTAAACCCCTAAACCCCAAACCATGAAGCTGACAGGCCTGGGTTTAGCGGTAGCGCCGGGGCCCACGGCTGAGCCTGATAGGGTTGAGTCTTGGGGTCTTCGGCGGTGGGCGTAGGGTTTGGTTGAGGTTTCGGGTTCAGGGCTTAGGGTTCTTATCCTTCAGTGAGCACTTGTCTCTGTGGATGCGCACATTACTTCTCCCAACAGCCGTGTCTCCGATGTATCGCTACGAGGTTTCTGTGCTGATTGTCAATAGCTTCGACTACTGCACATTGTATGTTACCTTAAGGCCTGCAGGGTCAGTTCACTATGTAGTATATATTTGCCGGTCGACGACGGAAGCCTAAACCACAAACCCGAAAGACTAACTAAACCCCAAACCCGAAGTCCTATACAACCGCAACCCTAGCTAAACCCTACACCAAAAGTCCTATATGATTATAATATACTCTTTACCTTGGTTCCCTCCCTCGCTGTGCAAAGGCCTGTCCCTGAATTTGGGAAAACGATGTCCTGATGAGCCATCAACTTGACATCTTGCGTCTGGTTACAGATTGGGCCCTAACCCTCAGATCTCATCGGGACAAGTCGACTGTCAGGAAGACTACTGGCACGATAGCAACAAATCAGCACTACCGGCTACACTAAGTCTAATGATACATGAAAGCATTGCCGGGGGGCTTCCATCCACAGAAGCATACCAGGAGGCAAATCTTGGACAGCCGAGCATGAAACGGTTGTTCTTGAAAAAACCCTAAACCCAAACACCCTAAACCCTAAATCCTAAACCCTGAACCCTAACACCCTAAACCCTAAACCCTGAACCCAAACACCCTAAACCCTAAACCCTGAACCCTAAACCCAAACACCCTAAACCCTAAATCCTAAACCCTGAACCCTAACACCCTAAACCCTAAACCCTGAACCCAAACACCCAAACACCCTAAACCCTAAACCCTGAACCCTAAACCCAAACACCCTAAACCCTAAATCCTAAACCCTGAACCCTAACACCCTAAACCCTAAACCCTGAACCCAAACACCCAAACACCCTAAACCCTGAACCCTAAAATCAAACACCCTAAACCCTAAATCCTAAACCCTGAACCCCAAACCCAAACACACTAAACCCTAAATCCTAAACCCTGAACCCTAACACCCTAAACCCTGAACCCAAACACCCAAACACCCTAAACCCTAAACCCTGAACCCTAACACCCTAAACCCTAAACCCTGAACCCAAACACCCTAAACCCTAAACCCTGAACCCTAAACCCAAACACCCTAAACCCAAAACCCTGAACCCTGAACCCAGACACCCTAAACCCTAAACCCTGAACCCAAACATCCAAACACCCTAAACCCTAAACCCTGAACCCTAAACCCAAACACCCTAAACCTTCAATCCTAAACCCTGAACCCTAACACCCTAAACCCTAATGCCTAAACCCTGAACCCAAACACCCAAACACCCTAAACCCTAAACCCTGAACCCTAAACCCAAACACCCTAAACCCAAAACCCTGAACCCTGAACCCAAACACCCTAAACCCTAAACCCTGAACCCAAACACCCAAACACCCTAAACCCTGAACCCTCAACCCAAACACCCTAAACCCTAAATCCTAAACCCTGAACCCTAACACCCTAAACCCTAAACCCTGAACCCAAACACCCAAACACCCTAAACCCTAAACCCTGAACCCTAAACCCAAACACCCTAAACCCTAAATCCTAAACCCTGAACCCTAACACCCTAAACCCTAAACCCTGAACCCAAACACCCAAACACCCTAAACCCTAAACCCTGAACCCTAAACCCAAACACCCTAGGCCCTAAACCCAAAACCCTGAACCCTGAACCCAAACACCCTAAACCCTAAACCCTGAACCCAAACACCCAAACACCCTAAACCCTAAACCCTGAACCCTAAACCCAAACATCCTAAACCCAAAACCCTGAACCCTGAACCCAAACACCCTGAACCCTAAACCCAAACACCAGACCCATGACCTGAGCACTTCGGGATCAGCTCAACAGGCCCTAAACCCTAAAGCCCAAAGGCTCCACCTGGACCCTGAATGACCTACAGTGAACCCCAGAAAGTTGGAACATGGATTTAGGATGATTAGTGCTAGGATTCCCCATACTTTACCTTAAAGGCATGAGGATAATGATGTTCCAACTTTCTGGCTTCTACTGTGCCCTTTTGTAAGGACTTATATAAGGATATCATAATAAGGAGCCCTGAAAAGTTAGGTTCTCTAGGGTCCAGGCAAGTACCAATATGTTTGGGGCCCTCAAGGTATATACTCTAAACCCTAAACTCCTAAACCCTAAACCCTAAAAACTTGCTATACTGTAACTTGGACCCTTTGGGAAGCTGATTCCGAAGAGGGACTCGGCGCCTCTGGTTGCCAAGCTGTGGGAGAGACCCCTGGTGTTCGGACCTGGCCAGCCGTGCCATCGCCGTCTTGTGAGGTTTACAGTTAAGTTAAGGGTTTAGGGGTTCAGGGTTTGGGGGTTTAGGGTTCAGGGGTTTAGGGGTTTAGAGTTTAGGGGTTAGCGTTTAGGGGTTTAGTGCTTAGGGCATAGTGTTTACGGTTCAGGGTTTAGTACTAGGGTTGAGGTGTGCGACTTTGCTTCAAGTCTCGCAGCCGTTGCATTTAAAAACGCGACTAGACAAGTCAAGCAACAGCCCCAACAACTGGTCATTCCAACGTTCCTGCGGTGCATGTAACCATTAGAGCAAACATAGGTGCTTGCGTCGAAGAAAGTCTCAGCCGTGATTGTAATTTCGAACGGTGTAAGCCCGACATTCGTGCCATGTTGCATGTGCATCTGTACCAACTGTATCGCGGCGACATCGGCGTGTCTCCGTCTTCATGTTTGTCTCATTTATAAGCACAGATGTGACACCCGAGAGAGGTATTGGGCACAAAGAGCCAGTCAATGCTTGCAGATTCTCGATATGTTGAACGACGAGCCACAGTTCGTATGATTTGCTCTCCGGATCATGCTACAGAGTAGAGCAGCGCAGTCTCTAACGCTGCCGCTGCAAGGACGCCAGACGTCCAGCCGAAGATTGGCAAATCCGACCGCAGGCACCTGACCTAACTTCTACATCGTTAACGTTGATGGCAACAAGGAACATCGGGTGTTGAAGGAATCTGTTCACTCACGTCGCTTGCTCTCGGTTCGTGGCCGGCTTACATTGACATATCTGTTACGTCATACACTGGCTGAACAAGTGCAAACCCTCAAGCCTGTAAAGCCTTCACCCCATGGCCTAAACTGAAAAGCCTTGAGCCTGGAGCCCTGAACCCCAAATCCTGGACCCCCTAGCCCTCAACCCTAAACCCCAAAGCCGGGGACCCTGACCCCGCACCCTAAACCCTAAATCCTAAACCGTAAACCCCAAACCCTAAACCCAACTCTCGGCTTCCTGCCACGTTCTTCGCGCCGACCCAGCCCATCGTCGTACCCACTTGAACCTACAGTCTCTGTGGACAAGTGCTTTTGGGCTGGGGGCCTTGGGGCCTAATGTGCTTGGGCTTGGGAACATTCGAAACACACCCATCGTGAGCAAAAAAAGGAACATATAAGCCCCTGTATTATTGCTCTCCCTAGGGCTCCCTCAGACGACTTTCTGATGAGGCATGTTGGAGTCTAGGGGGCTATCTATATATATATATATACATATATATATATATATAGATAGGGAGAGGGAGAGGCTTCAAAGGGCGACTGTGCCGCATCTACGCAAACCTATGCCCTTGCCACGCCACGATTTGGACGCTTTGGGTCGCAACTATCCTCCTTGCGACCTGTACAAGCGGCTAAAAGACCTTTAAAACCCGATACCATCCGACTAAGGCCGATAATGTTCTATGAGTCCCTAAAGCCCTAAAGCCCTGAGCGACCTGTACAAATTGCCCATTGACTCCGAGTTCCACTGCGTGGCTTGGGCTGGGAACTGTGCCTCGGATTTGCGGAGGCTGGGTGTAGGTGTTACCCTAAGGCCCCATAGTACTTCCTTTCTGTGGTTCATATTTAGAACCCTGTGAGGTAATCCCAAAAAAGAACTACTCTGGGGCCTTAGGGTAGAAAGGCTTTAAGGGTTTGGGGGTTTAGGGTTTTGGGGTTTAGGGTTTAGAGATTTAGGGTTTATGTGTAAAGAGGGTCTAAGGGCTTAGGGTCTGGGGTTTAGGGTTTTGGGGTTTAGAGTCGTCTACTTTGCAAGAGCCACCAGGAGCCTTAACGATTGGAAAAAGGTTCTGATATATATATATATATATGTATATTTATTTATATTTATATGTATGTGTATATATTTACATATGTAAACATGTACTTGTATGTTATAGTACACGGACTGTATGATTAGGGACTATAAAGGGAAAACATCTACTGCAATTGGTGCGTCAGGGCTGTGTTCGCTTTTGAGGCTTGCTCACAGACTTTGGTTATAAATACAAGGTCTGAGCTTTTCAGGTTTTACACGGTTTGTGTTATCCTGTCACTATATTTGCCCAGCACTACATTCAAGAAACCCTTCGAGGGACCCCAATTCGAGAACTAACCATTTCCACAGTACTTACTCTTACCGCTAACCCCCAACCGTTAAACTTTAAACCCTGAGCCCCAAAACCCTAAAAGGGACCCTAATTTAGAGAACCACCCGCACGGAACCCTTATAGTACGTCGTTGCTCTTACCTCTAAACATAGCTTTGCCAATGGAGCCTGAATGAAGCTCCGGTGCGTCCAGAATCCAGCAGTCCAGAATGATCAGAAGCATGCACGTCATATACATACATGCGTACATACATATATATATATATATATATATATATTAAACGAATGAAAAGAGCAATGTAGTATGTATGTGTATGTATATATATATATATATACTGTCGTTATTGAAACGTACATACAACATACGTAAATATCGTAAATGTTTGTGTACATGTATGTGTATGCGCATACACACATGCATGCATACACACCTTCCTAGATGCCTACCTACCTACATACATACGCATGCATACAATATCTCTGTCCTTATAGATCCTATTTAGTCAGAGATTAATTCTGCTTTAAAGTTGCGGTCATAAAGGAATTCTAGCTTGAGCGACAGTGCGAATCTCTCACTTCGAAGTGCCATCCGATTCCCTGCACGCAAATGGTTGTACGTGTGTGCACATGTGCTTGCATACACTTGCTTACATACATAAGTTACACATGTACGAACATACATATACAAATACACAAGTGCTAAAGCTCATAAACACACATAATTACAGGCACCTAGCATCATATATATATATATATATATATATATATAATAAACATTATTATTCGCAAATTGCCATCATACATGCATACCTTACCACCGGCCTGCCAACTTCCACTTGACTCCAAGGGACCCAGCACAGCAGCCCCGGGTACGGGAGATGAGAAAAGACGAACCTGGCACGCACGCGCACACACACACACACACTCACACTCACACACACCGGCAAGCTACAAAGTTTGCGGTTCAGGTCAGAAGCTTACTGCCGTTGATTTTTTCAGTACAAGAACATTGCAGTGATCAGGATCTCTAAATCGGAAGTATCACTTGTAGTACTTGCAGCTGAGATGCTGTGATCACACTTGGGCCTGGACCAGTAAGGGTCACATACACACACACATATCGAACGGCTTGGCCCGGCAACAAGTAAATGTCGTGATATTGCATCTACACCTCCACGACGCAAGTGAGCAGCTGAGACTACAAACAATGTATATTTCCCTTCGCAAAAACAAACTCTTATTCTATTCCGCTGTCGATGTCGAGGTGTCGCTACGTCCTTTTACTCAGCGTGGGAATTTCTAGAATCGGGGGCGCGGTATTGGAAGGTCAGCTAAACATAGGCTTCTAGTGGAAAATGGCCTATGTTCGCGTCTCCAATTGTCTGCAACTCCGTTGCAGTAGCCTAGAAACTCTATAATCCCGCACCCTAATTATACAGCATTATACAGTCCACCAAAAACTGGCCTGAGGATGGCCCTCTGCTTGTCGCAGCAATACACCCTGGTTGCAGCAAACGGCTTAGGGCTTTTGGATTATAATGCTGTGTTTCGGTTGCGCGCTTTTGGGTTTAATTACAAAAACTAGGGGTTGGAGGTTTTAGCGCTCAGGGGTTTCGGAACTGCCACTTCACCCTGTCTCCGAGCCAGTGTCTTCAGCTTAGTGCCTGGGTTTTGGGTTTAATTGAAGGGTTTCCGCCAATTCCAACCCAATCCGACTATCTTGGGGGTGTGGGGAAGGGCCCATATGGACGTTCGCTTCGGGTAACGAACCCCTCCTTGGATTGAGGGGCCCGGAGCATTGAACCTGTACACAGCCCCCGATGATCAATCACTCACCTACTTGCAAGCTCATTCACATATTAATACGAACACTCACTCTCTCACTCAATCCCCTCCCCCTTTTATTAAACACCCCCCTAAAGAAAGAACAAAACCACCCACGTCATAAATTCCTTTTGTTCGCGATACTTCGTCCGAAAGCGCACCATAGAATGCCTTCTTGGTTTCAGTATCATGAGTACTATGTGGGGTGTAAACAGATAAAAACGATATGTCGGCACCTTGCGCTTCAAAGGTTATCCTCATTGTACGTCCATTGAACGGTTTAACATCCTTCAAAGCATCCATTATAAAGGAGTTTTTCACCACAGTTGCCACTCCTGCATTCTCAAAACCTGGTGCTGGACGATAGTTTACAGCATTACCGTCGTCCGGTCCTTTTCCTTTTCCTTTTCCTTTTCCCTTGCTTGTCTCTCTTCTCTTAATTTCTCTCTCCCGAACTTTCGGATCAACATCGGAACTAAAAAAGCACGTGTATCCATTCCAGTGTTCGTAGCAATTTGTATTTACATTCGTTTCGCTTAACAACATGATATCAAATTAGTTATTTGCATAATATCAACGATCAACTCCGCTTTTTGTATTTGTGCTTAAAACTCTGACGTTCAAGCTCGCTGGACGAATTTCGCGATTGATGTTTAGAGGGCATGCCCTAGCATTGTTTCTATTAACGACGCACTTTTCACCATACCGCCTACTGTGATTCAAACGCAATCTGCGAAATTCATGCTTTATATCTTGCTCTGCTTCTTGAAACCATCGTTTGCTCTGCTTAGCATTTTTTTGTTTCTTGTGTTTGGTGAGACACTTGCGCTTCGGCAAGTCGGAACTTCTAAAGAGTTTCCGTGCTGCCTGTTTGGCTCGTCCCCAGAGTTTTGTTCTTTTGTCACTCCTCCATAACTGTCTAAACAATCTACGCCGAACCCCCAAAGAAGGGGTTCGGCGTGCTCTAGCTCTAGCATTACTTGGGTTCACTCCTCCCGGGGCCACGAACCACGGTAAGCGTAAACCACAACCGCTCCAACATACACTTGCGCTAATCCTTATCGTAACACTTAGAGCAGTCCTTATCCTGATAATAATCCTTATAGTACCCTCAAAGCAAGGCAAGTCATGTCTGCTGTGAGCTCCAGTACTTTTCTGAGTCAAAGGGTCGAAGCTTGCAAACTGGCTAAGCAAAACGCTTAGGGGGTGAGGACTAAGTTCCAGGCTCAGGCTTCAAAACAAATGACTCTTCGGTTGGGTTTAGGAGATTAGCAACTTCGGCGTTTCGGTGCTTTGCGGATTAAGGAAGTAAACCCGGACAATATCCAAACCTTCGCAAAGCAAAGTCTTTCCCCAATATTGTCGTGTTCTCTCTCTCTCTCTCTCTCTCTCTCTCTCTCTCTCTCTCTCTCTCTCTCTCTCTCTCTCTCTGTCTCTATATATATATATATACACCCACATACAACCTACAAACGAAAAATGTGTGTGTATATATAAATGTATAAACGTAGATGTATAAATAAATACATACATATATATATATATAGGTATGCATACATCAATATATATATAGATATATATACATACATATATATATATGTATAAAATATAAGTGTGTATATAAATATATAATAAAACATATAAATATCTAAAAATATAAGAATATAACTATGTAAAGATATAAACCTATACATATGTAGATATATAAATATATAAATGTATAAATATAAAAATATGTAGATAAACAAGTACATATATATATATATATATATATGAAAGTATATAAATATGTAAATACCTGCATAAATATACGCATTACATATATATATATATATATATATCTATCTATATACACATCTATATATATATATATATATATATATATATATATACGTGTGTGTGTATATATGTATATATCTACATACATACTGTACACACACATTATCACTACCAGTATGTTGTAAACACACACATTACCAGTATACCTGCACATGTATGTATGAGCACACACACATATATAAATAAAAAACACACATATATATATATATATATACGTATATGTTTATAGATGGATGCATTTGTGTGCCAGTCTCCTTGACAATGCAAAGGCTATACCTGGACCCGACAAAGCTACATGTTTTGGAAGGTTTAGACATTCAAAATCATAATAAGGATCCGCCTGGCACTGGGTAGGGTTCGGCTTGGAGGTTCATGGGTAGCTGTACGTAGCGTTATACGTTATAACTAGGGTAACTATCATTAAAACCAGTAAGATGGCTCAATGATTGGGCGCCTCTTTGATTAAGCGTACATATCTAGCTTTCCACAGCTTTTCGCAGGAATCTGCAAGAAACTAAGCAAAACCTACGACAAGCTAAGAGAAGCTAAGAGAAGCTAAGAGAAACTAAGAGAAACTAAGATAAGCTACGGGTTTCCTGTATTGAAGTATGTCCTGGGCTGGGAAGCTACGGATTTCCTGTGGTACAGTGTGCCCTTGAAGGGCCAAGTGAAGACAAAGCAGGAAACTACAGGTGGGTGTTATTTGTTCCTAGCAGTCGGAGGCGGGCTTTGACTTCTGTTTGTGCCGGCAATCCACTGCCGATCCGTCGGCCATAGCGCCTAAATGCATTTGTTTCAGGAGGTTCTTTGGCTCAGACCCCGAACTGCTAATATTTTCGTACGATCGGAACCCGCTCTTCTAGGCAAGGCTACCAAAAGCTAGACAAAGCTAGAACAAGCTAGAAAAGGCTAGCGAAAGCTAGAAAAAGCTAGAAAAGGCTAGCGAAAGCTAGATAAAGCTAGAAAAAGCTAGATTTTTCCTGGGTTCCGGGCAAGCCCCAGGGCCAGAGTATCAGAGGAGACCGGGATTTCACTAAAGGAATATCACAGAACACCACGGAGTATCACAGAATACGGGTTGTCACTAAAAGACTTGAATGCAAAGGAACATACCAGAATACCTGGTTCTCAGCAAAGGAATGTCACAGAATACCAGGTTTGCAGCGGAGGAGCTATCTAGCTCCCTTTACTCGTGCTCCGAGCCCAAAGAGGGACCCCATCATGGAGCCATCTTATTGGTATTCCAGAAACTATACTGATAATTGATAACCCATATTCGGGGACGTATAACCCCACTTCTAACCATCTCTAAACCCCATAATCCTTCCATACCCTAAACCCTATGGAGCCCTTAAGGGAACCCTACTAATAAGAACCTCCAGGTAACAGCAAGAAGCGGCCCAGACCATAGGCAAGGAATTGAACCGCAACAGAACCCCTCACTGACTTTACGATTCATGCAATTTCTACATATTCGTTCAGTTTTATACATATATACGCATACACAAACATTCAGTGTATTGGTATACCTGTATATATATATATATATACACACATATACACACACGGATATATGTATATGTCATCTATACATGTGTGTCTTGTACAGGTCTCGCTTGTAAGCACTAGCGTTTCTGCTCCCGTTCTTGCATGACCAACCTGCTCTAGGGGCCCTTCTGCGAAACCCAAAGGCATTAACGTCCCTTTGCCTCCTAAACCCAACCTCCTTTATAAGGTTCCTTGCTATGATTTCTTTCTATAAGTTCTTGAAAAGATAGATTATTCCGGGCTAAGGTAAACTCTAAACCATAAACAGTTCATAACAAGGCTAGTTCTACCGTGCAGAGCAGGCGCCTTGCATCTTGTGCCACCCCAGTGGGGAGGGGGCGCCTGGACCTGCAGGGCACCTGCACTGGTGACATGAGGAGGCTAAGTGTGACTTCAGTTTCCCCCGTGCACTTGAGGTTGTATTCCGAAGTTATTACATTACGTAGTCCCAGTATCGAGAACCTTCACCGGAAGACAGGGTTTCGGGTTCCAGAAATACTGAAATGTGCATGAAAGTTCCACTGTCCGTTTCAAGCTCGGATCTTCAGCCAGTCGTGCTCAGTATTGAGAACCACAAGACCCAAAGGGTCCAAGTACCAACATAACTAACTAGTAGGGTCTTAATGGTCACTTGAGGCCGTTCAGTATATACTACACAGTGTTACAAGGGACCCTTGTAAAGAGAAACAGGAGGGGCAACGGACACAGTCTAGACCCTAAACCCTAAACCCCTAAACCCTAAACCGTGATCATCCTGCCAATAGTGCCAGTTGCTCGGAGATTACTCAGGCTCGAAGCTTCCATTGCACTGTCCCTAAGTGTCCATGTACCCATATGGGAGTTTCCGAGCACCAGGGGTACCTCAATATGGGGTCCTTATAATAAGGATCCTGCTATTTAGGGTACTATATTAGGGTCCCCTATTTTCGGAAACCCCCAATATATAGAGATACATGAGCCCCAAAGTACCTATATTATAGGGATTACATTAAAGGCCAATGTATATATTATATGAGTAGATGGACCGTTCGGCCGGACCGCTCTTGGCCGTCTTCTCCGTCTTCAGTGTCTGGCTGCGTGAGTACGTCATGCACCACTCTTCCCTCAACTCTCAAAACGTGTACCTAGGAGAGGACAAAGGCACCTGTACGTCAAGAGCACACATATACTACAAGACTATGTGTATGCATATACATAAAGACAGAGATACATATGTTTCTTTCTGACGCGAAAGAGATTGAGATTTCGGATGTTCTGGTCCAGGGTTTTCGGGTTAGGGTTTTTGAGGTTCACGTATCAGGGTCACGAATTCAATTTTTCAGGGCTTAAGGCTTCGCGGTTTGGACTGTAAGGCTTGGGGTTCATGCAATTCGTGATACTCCTCGCTATAATTTGCAAAGTAAACCCTAACCCTAAACCCCAAATGCTAGAACAGGGCTGTGGTGCATGTTTCAGTTCATGTATAACTATAACTACAAAACTATACCAAGATCAAGGGAACCCAAGGACTTGTTCTTCAGGCCCACTGTTTCCTTCCAGAATAACACCCAATGCCCCAACCACGAAGACGGCATACAGTAGAAGCCAGAAAGTTGGAATATGATTATCCTAAACCCTTTTTGGTATATTATAGGGTATCCTACAATGAAACCATATTCCAACTTTCTGGAGTTCCCTTTACAGGCACCTGCAGGCAGAGCGGGATCGGCCCTGTAGTCGCTGTAGTCCTCAGTTTCTGCAGCACTGTAAAGGGAGGATCCCCTATAATTTACCCTAAAGGGGTTACGATCATGACATTCCAACTTTCTAGCTTCTACTGTATGGGAGGAAGATGTGATTATCAGAGACTCTGGAAGTAGCCGCTCATTTGGCTAAGGGTCTGTTCTATATCATACATTTATTTGGGAACACTCGGGATAAGACTGCTAACGACTCAGACCCGTCAAACCTAAATCCTGAACCCTCCAGCATGAGCTAGCTGCTTGTCCTGACACATCGACCTTGGCTTGGCTCACCCTTGATTTTGAAGTTCAGGTACAGGCTTGGGCTTACCTAGACCGCCCAACTACACTCTAAGACATAATTATACCCAAAAACCCACTCTTAAGGATTTCAAGGGCTCTTTTCAAGGGCACCTGGGGGGGTCCTGGCAGGGCTTAGGGTTCTGATCTTACGGTGACAGATCATCAACTTACAGGGAACTCCAGAAAGTTGGAATATGGTTTCATTATAGGATACCCTATAATTTACCATAAAGGGTTTAGGATAATCATATCCCAACTTTCTGGCTTCTACTGTACAAGGGTGATGGTGCCCCCCCGAGGAGTCGCAGCACAAAGCGGCGAAGAAGGCTTGAAGCGGCGAAGAAACGCCTAAACCCTTAACTGAAGAAGTAATTATAAGGCCTAAACCCCTAAACCCTTAACTGAAGAAGTAATTATAAGGGCAAAACCCTAAACCCCTAAACCCTTGACTGAAGAAGTAATTACAAGGACTAAACCCTAAACCCTTAACTGAAGAAGTAATTATAAGAGCTCATACCTACGGCGACCCCGCCATGTGCCGTTTCATCGAGCCCTTGCGGACCGAAGTAAGACGTATTTGGCCATCCTTATATTATAGAGCCCTACGTAAGGGTCCATGTACCCAAATAGTATATACTTTGGGCCTACCTATATAGGGACTACATTAAAGCCAATGTATATACTATTTGGGTACATGGACCCTTAGGGGAGGAGACCTATAGTATAGTCTCTATTGTAGCTCCTTTTCTTTGGTTTAACCAAATAAATAATTAGGATCCTACAAGCTAACCCCAAAAAGGAACTGCAATGGAGACTATAGGTAGCTTGGGAGGTCTAGGATCGACGCTGACGCTGCATCCCTGAGTCGCCTAAGGAATGCGGGAACCCTCGAGGCTGAGCCGCAAAACTACGGTACTCACTCAGCTGACCTGCGGTTTGGAAACCCTGATTACTTTAAGGCCTAAGTATATATATATATATATGGATTATATATATATATACACGTAATAGATAGAATATAATATAATATCACATATATCTATATACTATTTGGGTATATATATATATATATAAATTATTTGTGCACATGAACCCTTAGGGTTTTTGGCGCCCTGTGGTGAGGCAAGCAACCGCAGGAGCCATGCTCCAGGGTGATGCCGGTCGAGCATGCACGAGTGGCGCCTGGACGTTTTTGGTGCTGAGCATGTAGCTTGTGCATATCCAATGTGTGTTTAGGGGCATCCTGGATGCAGGAGCTCAAGTTTTAGTCATTCCCGGGTCAATATCAGAAATGTAGGACCGAATGGGGGCCCTTTTCGGCGTCCTTGCTGGCTAGTAGGCAGTGAGGCCTGGTATGTCGGACTTGTGCACGGGAATGTCTGAAGGGCTCACGTTTTTTTCTACGAGTTGAAATGACACTATTCACAGTTGAAGCTCTGCCCCCATCCGCCCCCCGCAGCTACAGGATACGCACCTGCGCAGCACAACCCACCCAGACCCCCCCCTCAAAAAAAAAAAAAAAAAACTAGAAAAGGGAGAAGACCTCAACTCCGGAGCCCCCCGGGGTCCTAAACCCTCAACGCCCTTTAAATCGTATAAGCCCGAAAGCCCAAATCCTAAACTCTTGTCCCTAAGCCCTGCATCCTAAACCCAAACACGCTTGAACCTTCATAACATATTTTTCCTACTATTTGGTTTAAAAAGGTAACCCAAAAACCATACGGGAGGTTCACGGGTAGGTATAATAAGTGTGGGTATGACGGTAGTTGCGCTACTTGCAACCCCCGCTTATAACCATCCATGAACCTCCAAGTAGCCCCTAACCTTACAGGAACCCCAGATACCTAAACCCCTGAAAACCCTTGCCCTTTGACCCCACAAAACACAAAACCCGAAACCCTAAATCCATCTTGCTTTGGAGCCTCCACTGGGTCGCGGGGGCCAGCAAGCTCACAGCAGACCTATTCGGAGGTTCATGGGTAGTCTTCCAGTGGTGGTTGTAACCGGCTACCATCCGAAGGGTAACCATAGTCATAACCTATAAGTCAGGGGTTGTATAACCCCACTTAAAACTACTCATGGTGGGTGTATGGGGTTCGGGGGTTTCAGGTGCAGATTATGGTGCCTATCGGGTGGAGGGCATGAAGTTCAGAGCTTGGGCATTCGATGCTTCTTCTCGGTGCCCTTGTCATGGTAGACCCTTGTTCGGCCTACTTGTCGGGTATCATGGTTAACCTTTTTGGTTTTATAGGGATTATATAGTGACTCTACTACCCAACAAAGGTTAAAGGTTGCCTACTCTACGACTGGGCTTGTTTGGGAATCGCAAGAACAACTCCAGACAACCTATCCACGAGAACTGGGTTTGGTTTGTAGATGTCGACGTGAGATTGAACCGTGATTTCTGGCCTTCGAACAGACTTTCCCGACTTGACAAAATCTTTCAGCGAGGTTGACTGGGTTGCGCAGTTTCTCTAGGCTTCCCGAAGGCTTGAACCCAGGACCATCAACCCTAAATAAATTCCGAACCCTACACCCTGAAATCTTGAAAGACCCAGACACTCAAGGCTGTGTAAAACCCTAGGTGCGAGTTCAGGGTTTGAGGCTCCGTGTACCTTTTTCGTACCTACTTGGGCCTTACGCTACCTATATTACATCTGGACGACTTTAAGGCCGAAGCATAGACCATGTAGGTTGCATCCAGCCATAGGATTCAGTCGGGATAGCAACATCGCGCTGATGACGCACATTGCTGCCACTTACCGGAAGCCAAGATTGGCCCTCCCCAACCCAAAGCAGGTAGAGTAATGGCCCAACACCTATCTATATATATATATATATATATATATATATATGTAAAAGGCTATTCTTCTACGTAATTACTGTTGGGATCCAGGATTCAACTCTTGGCAATTCCTGAGGCACTCGTTGAATTGAACCACCCACAAAAAATCCCCAAAACCAAACCCGAACCGTGCCTTCAATCTAGATCCCATCGTCGCACCTTTGCTCTTGACCTCCCTGAAAGACCCGCAAGTGCTCCAGGGGTTAGGGTTAAGGGTTTTAGGGTTTAGGACTTCCATGTGCTTACCAAATAAGGGTCTGCAGATGCCACTCTTGTGCGCAACTTAGTAAACGAGGTGCACGTGATACACAAGTCTCAACAAAAGGGAGCCAGAGCGTTGGTCCTTAGTGGAATTTGCTTTTGAGTTTCGGAACTACGTTTATAGTCCAAAGGCTAGACTTACGGGCATGACTTCACATTCCCGATTTAGTTTTCCGCCGCTTGCACTTCCCACCTTCGCACCCATCAGTATTGAACAGGGTTCGCAGCTCGTGAATGCAGAGGCATCGTCGCAAGGAAGCGCATCTTGCATGAAACTGGGGTTACCCCTGCAGCATTGCTACAACAGCCACAGCCGCCACGGTACTGTTACGACTAAGCTGACATAAAGAGCAAACACCTCTAGACCAACGGCACAATCGATTGCACAAGCAACTGCTTCATCAATCTGCTGCTGCTCCTGTCGGCTTGCTTGCAGTGGGTACAGTGTTGTTTGTTGTATGATTGCATTGTAATCACTGCTGTTGTGGTCCAGTTGTGGTTGTGCTTGTGGTTGCGGTGCTGGTTCTGGTTGATCTTGTGGTTGTGGCGGGGTGGTTGTTGTTGTGCTTATCGTCGTTGTTGGCTCTTCTTGCAACTTAACTTCTCTTCGGGCGTGGAGTTCACTAGCACATGCTTTGAGAGCCTTGGCAAACGGGCGAGTGACAGGCTTCCCAAGGCTCAGCGTTAGATCACAGCAATACTGGGAGGGGGGGGGGGGCATCTCGAAACATGGCATGCTTTGCTTTGTGCAGACTATGAGGAAAATTTGGTCCATCCATGTGGGGTACAGTATTGCTGGAGCCGGGGCAACGAAAGCCTTTCAGATACCAGCAGCATCTTGTCCAACCGCTTATGTGAAACCTGGAGCAACACTACACCAGTGTTCTCACGGTTTCGGTTCCGGTATGTAAGTGGTATGTATGTATGTATGCATGCATGCATGCATGCATGCATGCACTACTCTCTCTCTCTCTCTCTCTCTCTCTCTCTCTCTCTCTCTCTCTCTCTCTCTCCTTGTATGTATACATACATACATACATACATACGAACATCTATATACATACACATATATGTATATGTACAGATAGACAAAGATTGCAGTCACAGTAACAACAGGGTCCATGCCTCTCAGAAGCCTAAGTCTTGCGGCTTGGAGTTCGATCAATAAAACCAAGTGACCAACAAGAATGAACTCCGGTGGAGGGTATAGGCTGGGCCAAAGACGGAGCACCACACATGTTCAAACCGTTAAAGTTGATATCTTCATGCGGATCCGCAGGCCAAACACCAACAGCCCTACCCTTGCAGAGGTTGCACATGGGAGCTTCCGAAAATAGGGGATCCGAATATGGTACCCTAAATAGTAGGCTCCTTAATCACTATATAATCACTGTAAGGACCTCACAATAAGGTACCCCTAATTTTCGCAAACCCCCACATGCTTGGGGGCCCCCTTCGACCTAAACCCCCACCTTGCCTCTCGTGCTCTGGTCCACAGCCTGCATACAAGGCTATCGCAGTGCGTTGGAGCAGTCCAGTACTATACCTGTGGTTAACTGCCAGTGCAATGTTAATTACCCACTATTTTGAGACCTGCTTCGTAGGCTAGGAACCTCGCATCACCGAGCTGTAAGCTACGTCGGATCCTCTTCCAAAGGCTGTAATGCAACACAGAGGCTGCTCTATTTTCCGGATCCTATGAACGTGACAAGCTTCGTCTTCTGAACTGCTGTTGCAGCCCCCAAACGAAATTGAATCCCACATGAGTGCGTGAAGAACATCCCTCTGAACACGAACCCGACGCAATGACGAAGACCCTCGATTGCTTGGCTCAACTTTCTGGTTGAAGGAGCCTGACCCGAAACCCTGCGCCCTGATCTCTGCTAGGCTTCCCCAATGAAGGACGCGCGACCTGGGTATATTTTGCATCTGGAGCCTTTGTTTTGGTTGCCTGGTCTCTCGGTGGTAGGGCCCTACACCTGGCTAACACCAGAAGAGTTCCGGGTTTGTACTTCACGAATGTACGTTTCGCAGTCCTCGCCTTTGAGAACAGGCCTTTCTCTGAAACCTGACCACTATTTAGGGTGGAGGGTGCAGGGTCATCCCTCTTCGGGTCCAAACGTGGGCATCATGCTGAGTATGTCTCTTGGGCTGCAAAAAGAACACTGAGAACACATGCTGAAAGCCACGTGCATAAGCTTAACCTTACGTTTATCCTCCTGATTTGGGTACCTGGACCCTCACGATTTCTACCCCGTCACAAGTTCAAAAGCGCCACCTGACAGAGTAAGCAGCAACCCTGAAACCCCATGCTGAGACTGTAAGCCGGGTTAAGCCTTGTGGCTGCGAGCTTTCGCCGGCCATGGCTGCATTGCTGGACCCTAAACCCTACACCGGGCCCTAATAGGGGCCTTAATGAATAGAATGGGGTTTTGGACCCTTTATGCTATAGTTGTAATGGGGATCCCCCAAAATAGTAGTGGTACTTATTTAGGCGTCGACATAATCTTTTGTGCTCTGGGCCTGACTTGTGCCCTAAAGCCCTCGGCTACAATCATCTCGGCCACATTAGACAATGCTCTGTGCACCAACCCCTGCACCCAATGTAGAGATAGCAAAACAAATCATACCAGCGATCATAACGCTCCATTCCCGAATATGCTTACGGTACAATATGCCCGAAAACGCTATTTATTGTATTAACAGAACTGCTCTCTTACGGAACCCTCTTACAACCCTGCACACGAGCCTTGGGAGGAGTCCGCTCAAACTATTTAGACACCTATGTTAGAGGGTCCGGGTTGTGGTGCTTCAACCCCTAAACCCCAAGCCATAAATCCCCGAAGCAGAAAGGATCGAGGTCGTGCAGGGGTTTGTAGATCATGTTCCTTGTCTGGCCCTAAACCATAAACAGTGGCACTGGCCCATCTCATAAACTCTGAACCCTGAGTGCTTACACACGAAGGCCTAATCCTGCAAACGATGTGTTCACTCTGGCATCCTGCTGTCCTATGTAATTAAAGGACAAGGGAGGCTGAGTAAGTAGAGTTAGAAGGGGGTAGATATAGTTCTGACTACTTGCACGTAATGTAGGGACCTGAATAGTTACCTATGCTGTTTTGGGGTTCCTTACTATAACTATGGGATTATAAACCGGCTACACGACACGCCATTGCAGAAGAAGACGATGTATCATCCTACTTATGGAGTTTGCTGGGGAACTAAAGGTTTACCTTTGGGACTGTATATATTTGGAGTACCTAAGATCCTCGCGTCAGAACTAACTCGAAGGATGTGAGTTCACGGCGGTGTGGTGTCCCTGTCCGGAATGTGGATTTATTCTTTAAGCGTCAAGCGATGAGATCATGAGCGACGAGCATTCAGGACATAGATATCAGGTCTTCTGAGACTAACAACATAGCTTGCTTCCTGCAGGAATCTACAGGGACTGCTCCCTGAAATTCTAAAGCTCAGATAAGGCAAATAGTATAGGCATGATATGGTTTTGTGCGGTTTCGAGCCCCGGTACCCTTGGGCCGACACATCTCGTAATCATACCCTTCATGGTGCCTACATTGCTTTGCTTCAATACGCCCGCAAATCCAAAAGCCTATTCTATCTATTATCGCCCGTGAATTCAAATCCCCCGAAGATGCTGCCAGAGAGGAGGGGAGTATTCCTCCAGCAGCAAGTTGCAATGCTGTGGCTCCATGTCGTCCATGAGCTTGATAGCCTCCGGCCCGACGGATGGCAACGGGGTCTCGGGCTCGGGGCTAGGCCGCAAAAGCGGGTGCCCTACTGTGTAAGTGATCTACAACACTTCATGCAGGTACTAACATGGTTGTGAAAGGTTTGCTTTTTGACCTTGGGTGAGTGGTAAGGTATGTACGTCTGCATGTGTGTGTGTGTGTGTGTGTGTGTGTGTGTGTGTGTCCGTGCGTCCGTCCGTCCGTCCGTCCGTCTGTCTGTGTGTCTGTCTGTCTGTCTGTCTGTCTGTCTGTCTCTGTCTGTCTCTGTCTGTCTCTGTCTGTCTCTGTCTGTCTCTGTCTGTCTCTGTCTGTCTGTCTGTCTGTCTGTCTGTCTGTCTGTCTGTCAATATGTATGTATGTACGTATGTGTGCATGTATGTAGGTAGTAAGGTATCTACGTCTGTCTGTCTGTATGTATGTACGTATCTATGTATGTATCTTCGCTTCAGCTATTACTACACGCACAGACACAGCTTCCACACATGTAATGTAAGGGCCTTAACAATTAGAATAGGGTTTTGGGCACCCATTATGCTATAATTAAAGTAAGGAACCCCCAACATAGTACGGATTATTATTTGGGCCCCTATAGTACTTTCTACAAAATGCGAAGCTGTTACTCCGGACACAGTGTGCACTGTAAGACACAGAAACAAAACCTAAACTGAACCTAAACCCCCTTCTGGTGAGTCCTTAGCCTAGGAGGCCCCGCAAAACAGCACGACAAAAAGTATCAGAACAGGTTTTGAACAATCTGCAGACCTGCAAATGATCATTCACACACATGGACATACTGCACATCTACGACTGATCATTCAGATACATGGACATAACCATGGCCTACCTTATCTAGTTCTACACAGAGATGTCTTCCTGCTTACAGACACATGCACGCAAATCACACACAAATACATACAAACTGATAGAGCCACAGATGTATACACATACCGGCATGCTTCAGAAGCAGACTCCATCATCAAAACAAGCCTTCACTTAGAGGCCGTGCAGTCACGCCCCCAAGTTTAGGGTCTAGGGGGGGATTCAGGTTCAGCGTTCCCCGAAGATTGCCTCGTTTCTAACGAACTCCACCGTCGGCACGTCCCGAACTCCACGCAGGGCCAAGGCTATCGCGATGTTGGCGAGGTTTCGCGGGCTGAACATGTCCTCCGGATGTGGGGCGACGTGGAGGGCTGAGGGTTGTTGATCTACCTAAATATGTACCTGTATATTTACATATATATATATATATATACATATATATATATATACATACATATGGGTGGTTATCAAAATTATGGCCCCTTGCGGGTCCGTATTATAGTACGGCACCTAATATTTAGGGTGCCCAAAAAAGGACCCTTACTTTTGACAACTTCCCATATACACTCTCCGACGCGGGGCCTGTTTGTACACCAGCTCTATGCTTAGGCTGCCATAGTGTAACAAACAACATGACAGCAACGAAATGGAACTATGTTGGAGACACAAGTTGGTAATGCTTTGTGCGGGACAGTCTGTTGCC